CACAGTGCCTGCTATGGAGCTGGCGAGCGGGCAGCACGCTGAGACCGTCATTTGTAAAAAGCAGGTCTGCTCAGCTATAATTAGTAATTTGATGTCACCCTGGAATTGGAGCGCAGCTGTGAAAAGATCGACCACCGGGGAGATTCGCATTTCTCTGTCTCATTTAGAGGGGGCGAAACTGCTGGAGTCATGAATGGAAGATGCCCTTCTACTAAAAAGAAAAGAATTAGGGAGTAAAACAAGTCATAGCAGCTGTCAGAATTTGACAATGTTTTTTTTTTAAAAGACTGTTCTCATAAAAAAACCTCCTAGACATCTGTACATGCATGTTCTGATACTTGTTGCCATAAAAGTAATCCCATTATTGTTAGGCTACAGGGACCTAGCTCCTCCGGTTCCATCTCCATTATTATGCTAATGAAAATCACACTAATTATGTGTCAAGATGAAATGCAAGAGACGAGACTTGTCTGCACCCATATCACTAAACATTGAAAATGACAGTTTCAAAACTTGTCATCAACAAGTTAAAAGTATGGGAAATTAACTAATGACTCCAGTGAACGAAGACTGGAGAAGGTTAAGAGCTGAGATTACTAATTAATCCGTGCCAGCAGAGTCTCTGGAAGGGTGCTCTGCATAGCAGCAATCTCTCTCAACAGGACAGCGGCACACAGAAAGCACAGGGACAGTGACTAGCTTTCCTCTAAGAAGCTAAAATAGAAGAAAAAAAGCATTTTCAGCCTTCCCCAAGTATTTCAAACCACAGGCACCACTTTTTATTCTGAAGATTTTATTCATGAACACACACACACAAAAAGCTATGCTTGCAAAGAGGAGTCAAATCTATTAACTGACCATGGAAGGAAAACCAACAACTGAAAGAAAAAAAAGAAAAAAGGAAAGGTCAGAGTTCGGCTAATGGCAGTAATTCCACTAATTGTTTGTAATTGAGTAAGTATTTCTGGATTGTCAGTGAAACCCCAGAGTGGAGCTGCCCCAGGCTCCCGCAGCCCAACTCTCCTGGGTAATTACCAGCTTTGACTGCCTCTGTATCCCAGACTTGCAAGCGATGGACGGTGAGGTAGCCCTCTAGAGCCTTGGACCTTTGGGGGATGGGTTGTCAGACCCCCAAACCTGCAACCCAGGGCAAAAGATGCCAGCAGGAGTCATGGAGGCAAGGCCTGTCTGTGGCCCACGCCTACCGAACCGAATGCTTTACATTAAGCACGAAAAATGCTCAGATTCCTTAGGTGGAGGAAAGATAAATGGGTTGTTTTGCTAAAATAGTTTAAAACCAGAAAATTTACTTGATTACTCAGAGTCAAGACCCAAGCTGGATCGTTTTAGCCTTCACGCCATGTTTTAGTTGGTGCAGGTAATTTTCTCACTCATTTCCATGACTTCTGGGATTAACATGAAATTTTTGTAGGTCATTTAAGAAAAGGAGAGATGGAAGACAGAGCGAGACCCAGACATCGAGAAAGCAGTCGTGCACAGCGGTTAGACACATGAGCTTTGGGGCTCAACCTGACTGTCACTTCCTAACTGCATGGCCTTGAATAAGGTTCTGAACCCATTTGTGAAAGAACTCCATCAGCTCAAAGGAAATAATCATTGCATGTCTTAACATAAAGAGAATATGACCAAATGCATGTTTAACCCGAGACAGCGTCCTGGATCCCAATACATTGAGATTAGCGTAGAAACGAACCCCAGGCAAAGGCAAGGTTTCTGCCTGTGCCAGCAACTAGAGCCTAGGTTTAGGGCTGGGGTTAAGTAAAGAGGGTACAGAGAGCCCTGGACCCTGTGCACTAGGCTTTCCTCCAGCCCCTTTCAGGAGGGGAGGCTGGGAAAGGGGGCCCTGAAGATACTGGCCCTTGAAAGGGGTGGAGGAAGACAGAGGATGTGCCAACAGCCTGTGACAGTGCTCAAGCGAGGCAGCTTCTGGTCTCAGCTCTGTGCATAGCTGGGCTCTGAGCTCTCACATGCCAAGTCCTGCCTGTTCTCTGAAACCACCACCAGAAGCAACGTTGAGAAGACGGTTGAGGAAAACGACCTTGTTTAACAAAAGTCTCTATTCCAATTTCTACTTAGAGTAAAGGGACTGAAGAGCTTGAAGGAGGAGGGCAGGGGAATTGTGGCTGTTCCTGGCTTCTGGCAAGCATATGGTCCTAAGGCACATCAGCAGAGACAAGGGACAGATGTTCTACAAATCTAAGGAGGTGTCATGGTTATAAAGCCTCAGAGGCCAGTGGCTTTCCCTTACATACAGCTGTTTCCCAGCAACCATTAGCTACAAATGTCTTTCTCAGGTTTGGTTATTGCGGGAGCAGCCCTGTAGACCGAGCCTGAAGATATTAACACTGATGTTGCCTGACATAGTCTCCAGGGACTTGGCAACCGAAAGGGGGTGGTGGTGAAGAAATGCAGCAACTGTCATGGAGTACAAACGCAACCTTGTCCACATGGTCTTCCGTGGGTCACTCTGTGGCTATGTATGGAAGGGTATGTGTGGCCCTTTAAATGATTCCATGTTTTTCTCTGACAACATTAGAAGTCTCAATAGTGTTCCGTCTCTGAACGCGTCACATGTGCTAAAAGTTAAATACTTTTCCGTGCTTGAAGGAAATGCTCGCTCAGCAACCTGGGCTTTAGCAGTCACTGTTGCTGGCACTTGGCATCTTCAAGGTAACTCAGGTGAAGCGTGCCATGCACACGCTCACCAGTGCCTACTTAAAAAGCACAGTCAAGCCCCAAGGCCACCACTTCCTGTTCTCCTCCACACATCTTTACCACTGCAATGTGGCTTCTGCTCCGACTGCACCTTCTCGGGCACAGCCTCCACAGCCTGGCAGGACGTCTGCTACCACAGATGCCCGGCAGGTACTGGAGGAAGTGACCCTGACCGCTGCTCACCTGGCTGTGGCTGGCGGGGGCGGGGCTTGCTGGTGGCTGACATGCCTCTTTTCTCGGGTGGTTCTATGGCACTCCTGTCCATGTTGCCATCACCCCGGCGCAGCCTCCTTGCCTGTGCCATCTCTGTTCTGACTCTACACTTGTGTTTTGGCTGCTGTTTTCTTTCAGGGAGCACACTGATCCTCTGGATGGAGCTGAGCGGATGGAGTTGACTTTCACAGCCTCCCTCTGGATATTCCTGCCCCCATACCTCCCGCATCTCATCCTAATGAACAAATTCTCTCATGGTTCCCACCAAAGCCCTCTGTGTCCACCAGTCAACTCCAGGCCCCGCCCTGGGGCTACTGCACTCGTCACCCAGTTGACCCAGATCCCCTGCAGTTTGCTCTCTCTCTCTCTAGCTAACCTACTAAGTGCCAGTAGCCTTTGCAGCATGCACTGTGCTTCTTCTGGATCATTTATTATCTTTCAAGGTCCCCCGAATCACCCCCTCCAGGAAACTTTGTCTTGTCTGGTCCCTTCCAGCCAGGACCAGCTTATGTTCCTCAGCTACAGATTCAGGCATGTGAAGGTTCCCTGTCAGGCTGCAGCTAACACATTTCCTACTGAACAGCACTATTCCTGCTAGATGTGGCTGGGTGAGCCATCATCTCACTCCCTGAAGCTGTGACAGCACCATGAACAACCTCCCCCCCCCAGCTGATGGGACGGTAACTGTGAACACACACACACATACACACACACACACACACACACACACACACACACACACACACACACACACACCCCTGAATGAAGATGGAAGAGCACATGTGCAAATTCATAAAATCAGATTGAAACAAAATAATATTCTAAAAGAACAAAACAAAAATTTTTTAAAATTCTTGATTCTAACTTTAAGTGGGATAGTAAAGAAAAGACCCTTCTGCTTTGTAGGAAATAAACATGAGGATAGGTGACCTTTCATCCAGGTGACCTTTCACCCAGGTGACCTTTTACCCATGTGTCAAGCTGGGCTAGTTTAGATCTACATGCAAAAAAACAGTTTTCCAGTATTTTCTAAATTAAAGTACTTTAAATTTTAAAAGGAATCAATTATGAAACCAGTTTTTTTAAAAATCTCGCCTAGAATGACAGTTTTTTACTTAACAGCCCAAAGCTTATTTCCAGTCTTTCACTGAATAAGCTCACCCCATGTCTGACCACTCACCTGCTCTTCACTGCCCTGTTACACTGGTTCAAAACTCTTTCCAGCATATAACTGCTTAATCCTAATTTCCTATGTCTCTCTCAATTCTTCACCATCTACCAACTGGAGCTAATTACAATTTTTGAATTGGCTTAAACCCTGGATCTGTGCGGGAGATTCTTCAGATAATCCCAACTATGAATTCAGTTGCTAATGACACATTGTCCTGTCAACAGCCGATGTATCCTATATGGCATAAGCACACATGCTCTGTTTACTATGGTGGCTACTTGGAATGTTTCACAAACATCTGACCCATTTTTCCTTTCTGTTTTATAAATCCTACTTCAGCTGATATAATTTCTTATTTACCAATACTGAAACATTGTATTATCAATATTTAAGACCAAAAGGCCTCTTTATAATGTTCCCCACAGACTTACCCTTCAAGTCAATAACTCTGTAAAAGAAACCAAATGAGATTCAAGTACTACTGACTTACAGCCAGTGAAGAGATGAAGACACACTCTTTTTATACCTCATTTTAAAAAGCAAAAACAATTCCAATCTCATGTTACCACTATTTAAACAGGAATCTGATGCTCAGTAAGTAATGGCCAATAAAATGGAGAAAGAGAGGCTAAGAACATAGTAAGGCCACAGTGCCTAACTGCAGTAAGGAGGCCTTGGGACCCCAGTTCCTCAACACCTGGGCCCACTTTCCGTCAAACACACACACAGCTGACAGCATCATCTAGCCATGCAGGAAGGGGGGGGGGCCTGCACGGTCACACTGCAGGGACAAACCACAGTGGTGGGAGATGAGAAGAATGAGCACAAACACTGCAGCAGCCACGCGGGGTGGACAGTGAGGAGGGGTCATCATGCTTACCTTTTCTTTGTCGCTAGCTTCTCTAGCCACTGTAGAGCCCTGAAACACAAAGAAATGCTAAGAATGGACTGGCATGAGATGTTTGCTTTCCTGTGTACACAGTAAGTAAGTGGTCCTGGGCAGAGCCGAGAAGAAACGAACCAGCTATGCCCTAGGTCCACCCTCGGCATGCTCCCTTTGCCCCAACAGCCCTCACCTGGTCTACTCCACTCTTCTCCACCACATCCCTGTCATTTTTGTCTGATTTGTCATTCTCTGGCTCTTACCCACCTGCTCGGAAGGCAGAAACCCTGGCATGACTGGAGGAATAACGTGCTAACGGAAATGGCTGGCTTCACTGTCTTCAGCGAGCTGCGGCCACAAAAGCATTGTATGCTCCTTCCCCCACAGCAGATGTGGGCTGCCTTGCTTCTGACAGCCTTCTCTGTACCGAGTGCTGTTTCTCCCCAGTGGAAGTTAGTGAAGGACTGAGCTCTGAGCGATCCTCTGAGCACTTTCTGACTCCCTCTACTTTGGAGATTCCTTCAAAGCCACACACTTCCTTAGACGTCTTCTGTTCTAGGCCCTATGCTGAGCACAGGGGTACAAAATGGAAGAAAACACAGCCTTTGATCCCTGCAGCACCTAGTCTACTGTACAGTTCTCAAAAGCAGCCTCTGAGCTGTGCTGGTCCAACGCCTGACAGGAGGTGGGAAGTCCCCTATGAGAGCCACAGGACGCGTGGGGCAGTGTTCAGGCAGAGACACTTTCCTTTTGTGGAGGGTTTTATTTCAAAAGAGAAGCTGAGGCACACATAGACACATTGATTTCTTACTTTAGATTCAGTGACTATTTCTTAATTCTTTGTGTCTCACCCGTGACGGCGTCTGTGTTTGCTGAAAGCGGCTGGAAAGGATCCAGTCTCTGACCTGTTGGGCTCCAGCCCCACATGCCTGAGAGGATTCGGTGGAGTGTTTCCTTAACTGGACCACTGCTCATACCTGCAACCATCAGCCTGGATGGCTAAAGTGGCCAGACTCGAAGGGAACCCGTACTTGACTTGAACAAGGACCGTCTGAACATGCTTGATTTGGTTAGACAGAGAGAGAAACATCTTCCCAAGCAGAAACAGAAGGAAGTGCTGTGGGGGACAGGGGGGTACAAGAGCAGGCTTGAGACCCTCCTGTCAGTGTCCATGCCCTGGCACTCGGCAGGCTCAAGCCCCTGAGGCCCAGGAAGAGCACTCAAAGTTTCTAGGAGGTCCAGGAGGTGCTAGAGGAGCACCAGGAGGAGTCGCCTCTAGCTCCTGAGATTAAAGGCACGTGCCACCTCCGCCACCATCACCAGCGGGATCCAGCCATGCTAATCTTCACTGTCAATAATCGAATCCTGTCAGGATTTAGACTCACCTGGTAAGAGCCTTACTGAGGGGCTGTCTAGATTAAGCTGGTCTGTCACCTCAGTGGGAGATGACCTTGATGTGTTAACTGAGGCAGAAGACCTTCCTCTTCCCTAGGATCCTGGACTGTACAGAAGTGTGACCAAGTGAGCTGAATGCAGCATGCGTGCATGCAGGGTTTTTTGTCTGCTCTAGGTGGTGGGTATAAGATGGTTAGCAACTTCCAGAGCCTCCCGCCTTCATCCCCACAGCGATGGCCTGCGTAACGTGGGACTGGGAACCAGACAAACCCCATTTCCTGTTAGTTGCTCTTGTCAGGCTGTTTTTATCACAGCAAGAGGAAGTCAGAGGAGGACACTACCTACTTAGGATTCCTGCATATGGGCCACAAACATCTTTCTTTCCTCTACACACAGACTTGCAACACTGTTTTCTCTCTCTCCGAGAAAGTGTGTATAATTCTTGAGACATCGCCTAGGCCATCGGGCAGAGGAGGAAACAATTCCACGTCTGTAACCTGTGTGTGCGGTGCACACGAGCATCTTGGGGTAAGGATAACCTTGGGTGTCTTCTGTGCACGTAGGGTTTGCTGGTGGAGCTGGGCTGACTGGCCAGGGAGCCCAGGCTGTCCCGTCTCCAGCCCCCCAGCACTAGGCTTACAAACAAGCGTTACCATGTACGGCTTTTAAAATTCTGGAAATCAAGCTCGGGCGCCTCAAGTACTTTGCTAACTGAGCCAATTCCCTAGGCCCTATTTTTGTATCTTTAGCTTTTTTGCTGGTCTCTCTGTGTTTTCTCTTCTACAATAAAATTCATCTCCTCAGTTTTGAAGGTACGTCAGTTCCATGTAAAATTATGTCATTAGCCTGGGGCAGGGAGAGGAGTTCCTCTAAGTGTAAAGCATACTGCAGGCCATGCGACCTCAGGCATTTCAAGGGGATAAATGTTTAAGCACACGCAAACACTAGCAGGATAGCTGAGAAGCCCAGTTCCTCTACACTGCGCAGATGCTGGATTGGCTACACATGCAGCCTACTTAACGACCCCTCCAAATGAAGACGAAACTACCCCTGCTTTAGCAGACCAAGAAACTGAGGCTCCAAGGTCCAGCAATGAGCACACAGCTTCTAATTTTATGAGGCTTCCAAGGCCACAGTGGCTTTCAAAGTGGGACAGGCAGAGCCCAGCAGACAGGCAGAATCCAGTGGACAGGCAGAGCCCAGTGGACAGGCAGAGCAGTGGACAGGCAGAGCATACTGGGACAGGCAGAGCCCAGTAGACAGGCAAAGCACAGTGGGACAAGCAGAGCCCAGTGGACAGGCAGAGCCCAGTGGACAGGCTGAGCACAGTGGACAGGCAGAGCAGTGGACAGGTAGAGCACAGTGGACAGGCTGAGCACAGTGGACAGGCAGAGCAGTGGACAGGCTGAGCACAGTGGACAGGTAGAGCATAGTGGACAGGCAGAGCACAGTGGACAGGCAGAGCACCACCTAGAGCCCTGAAATTTCCAGCAAAGCTGGTGAGCAGTGCTGCTCTGGACTTCAGGAGAAAGCTGGTGCCAAATGAGAGGACTGGGTTTGGCTGAGGCTCCCTGTAGGCAATTCCAAGGCAAAAACATGGCTGGATTTGAGACCTGGACAGGCAAGGCCATATGCAGGAAGTTCAGCTGGAATTTAGAGGCCGGAAACAAAAGCTACGTCACTTCCTCTACTTACACTCGCATTTCTCAAAGTGTGGCTCAGAATCCTGGGGTGCTCTGAAGAGTCTAAACTTGCTTGCTTATTTTTTGAGACAGGACCTTATCTGTATTTAAAGGCTGGCTTGAAGCTTGTAGCTCAGGCTGGCCTTGACCTTGCAATCCTGCTGCCTCGTCCTTTTGAGTGCTGGGGTTACAAGTATGTAACTCCACATTTGACAAATGTTTTCATAATACTGAGACACTGGTTGCCTCTTCAGTTTCCACATTCATAAGAACACTGCAAACACAATAACAGGCTTTGTCCTATCAAGCCGTTATGAGTTTCTGTCAGAGACACTCCAAATCCCCAGAATCCTTTAAAGCCCCTAATGAAGCAATGAAGGGCCTTGACCCCGAAGCACACGCCTTTAGTGTGTCAAATGCAGATAGCACTGTGTAAGCAATGAAGGATGCTCAGAGCCATTCTCCTGACAGGTGTGGTTATGGGTGAACCAGATACCTTTTCCATAAAAGAACAGTTATATTTGAAAAAAGTACAAATGACCCGTGTTTGTGCAGACCTGAGAAACTGTCTGAGCTCTGGACAAGCTGTGCTCTGTCATTTCACATGACTGATGGGATTTGAGGTCAGTGATAACCTGCTATCAAATGAAAGGCAGACTTTTGAAAACCTGTATTTGCCCTCAGTTTTCCATAAACGAAAGGCCTTCAATGTGACCAGCAGGGATGGCCACAGACTTTTGATATTGCATAATCGAATGTCAACCTTGGGAAAAACAATGTTAACTAGGGAACTCATACGTCTCCACTGAGGCATGTATTCTAACCACACACCCAGACCAGTGCTTGCAACTGTCAATAGATTTGAATGAACTGAGTACATATTCCTCAGGATATGGAAGACTAGAAATATCACTGGTAAGTTTTGAGGTGTTATAGAAGAAAATCTACAATTTCCACATCTGGAGTCGGGTTGTCATGAGCTGCCTGATGCTGAGAACGTGTCCTCCAGAAGAGCAGCAAGTACTCTAACCACAGAGCCAGCTCCCCAGCCCCTGCATCCATTTCTAATACTGCAGATAGCCACAGACATAACCTACACAAGGCAAAATGTTTTAAGGTCCTCTTTTGTGCCTGTGAATGAGTGCTAAGAGTAAAAACTAAGTCCTGAGAACCAAGTATCACAGATGAGAGAAAGGTAGACTTTTTTAGGGGTCAGAGGGTGAAGAGTTTAGCCCCATGGTCCATAAAGTCTCTGTGGTCACTGCTCTACTTGCCTGCCATGGTGCAAAAGCATAGACGACACAGAACCTGGACAGAGGGTGAGCCGGCAGTGACACTAGATTTACACAAATGCAAGCCCTCTGGGGTTTTGGCAGGCAAACATATCAGAGTTGGCTGTCTAAAAGTCAGATCACGCCACTGCACTCAGAATTTTCCATCGTCCCCGTCCCATTTCAAACCCTTGAAATGTCTGGTCTCTGGTATTTTACTGTCCCTTTGTCCTGACTCTTCCCTCCAATGCCACCCTTTCAGTTTTACCTTTCCTGAGACCCTACTAACCTGTGATCCCAGCCTCTTGGTGAGTTGAGGCATTGTAATGCAAGGCCTGTTGGCTACAGGATGAGTTAATGCTAGTTTCCGCAACTTAGTGACACATTGTCTCAAAATAAGAAGAAAAAGGGCTAAGGCTCTGGCTCAGCAACAAAGTACCTGCTTACTGATGATGAAAAATATTATGACCTCTCCCTGCTCATTTCTACACAGCTCCCATCATTTCCCTAAAATAATAGCAATATACATAATCCCTACTTAAAGATTTGTTCTGTTGTCTTCTTCTTTAGTTATCTGTCCTTGTATGTGTCTCGTGTGCATGTGCAGGCGGTGGTGAGAGGAAAACTTTTGGGAACTGGTTCTTCCTTCTGCTGTGGGTCCTGACGTGGGAACTCAGGCCACAGGGCTTATGCGCAAGCGTGCTTATATGCCGGGTGATCTTGCTGGCCTTGGTCTGTTTCAAACAGACACTATTCCAGCACTTACCCCACTACATGGCATGTGGCTGACATGTCTGTAATAACAGGGACTAACTAATAATAACATAATAACAACATGTAACAACTGTGGTGCCGGCTGCTGCCTCTAGAGTCCCGTTCTTGGAGCACCCCAACCATTGCATTCACATGATTAACTATATCATATACAACATGGGTGAGTAAGCTCGAGCGAGCAAAAGGAAACGATGAAAATGATCAAAGTCAACCTCACCTTTAAGTCGTACTTCCTATATACAGATAAACGGTGGCTGAACACATTCCTTGTGACAATCACGTAAATTTCCACTCCGTCGACATTAAGCCGGTACATTCCCAGGAACTGAGGAAGAAGAGTGACCCCATGACATTCCACTATATACTAGACGGGAGAGAGACAAAAAGGAAAAGCAGCTGTCAAAACATTGTTTATAAAAAGTAGAAATTTCCAATCCTTGAGGTTTTATTTCCAGACGTTTATGCTGCTCACACATCAGATCTGTGTTCTATCTCTACATATGTTAGGGCATTCAATCATATCCCTAAAGATGTTCTTTCTCCCGTAACCCAAACCAATCTGCAATGTCAAAGGTGAATACAGTAGCACGAGGCACGAAAGGAAATTATTTTAAGTAAAGGGGCAGTCCACTGTGCCCTCCGCCTTCTTCCCCAGAAATCCTGAGGATGGCCTCACCACTTGATGAGCATCTTGAGGGTGCTGAGGTGGAGGGTAAAGAGGAGGCTGTGGGAGTCTGCTTTCCATCTATGGGCACGAAGGGAGGCCCTGAGCCGTAGATCCGAGGCATTCTTTGGCCAGGTGCTGGCCGCCATCAAGTCCCAGGGTTGCAAAAACACAACAGGACTTGGGTCCTATGCCAATGAGCCACAAGAGGGAGCTACTTCCTCTTCGAAGTAGCTATTGATAAATAAACTGTGGGCACTAACTACCGTGAGGGCTTTAAAATGGGGGAAGAGTCTAACAAAGCCGTTCACGCCCATGACACGGAGAGCAAACCTCCAGGACTGCACCACCGTTACAGTTCCAGTGCCGTAAAGGCCCCTCCCACTGTGCCCATACCACACGCCTGAAAGGATGAGGACCAAGTTAAGGGTCGAATAGTGGATTGGTGTGTGTTCGCGTGCGCTGAGAGTGTGAGTGTGTGTGTGTTTTGCATACATGTATGTGAGTGTACAGAAGCTAGACAAGGCTCTGGGTGTCACTGCCTTGAGACAGAGTCTCACTGACCGTCTGGAAGCACTCTCTTAGCAAGCTGGGCTGCCAGGGAGCTCTCAAGATCTGCCTGCCTCTGTTCCCTCTCAGCTGGGGTCACAAGCATCCATGCTTGGCTTTTTACAGTCATTGGAGATTTGAACTCAGGTCTTCACATTAGCAAAACTAGTGCTCTTACCCACGGAGCAATCTCCCCAACTGGTATTTTGAGTCTTTATAAAAGGTTACACTCTTTCTTTCTTTCTTTCTTTCTTTCTTTCTTTCTTTCTTTCTTTCT